CAGGTGCAGAGGGGCTGGGTAGGTGGGTACGACTCAGGAGCCAGAGAGTCCGTCTCAGAGGGCGCCTGAATCTCAGGGAATCAGGTGCCCTGCGGAGGGGAAGGGAGAAGGAAGATCACAGGGCTGAGGTCACCGTGAATTAGGAGGCACAGAGCAGCCAGGGCAAGCGGGGAGACTTTTGGAGCATGTGCAAGGCTCTGGGTGCCACCCATGGTACCACACACACACACACACACACACACACACATTTTTTTAAAGGTGAGGATAGAGCAGTTGAGATCGGAAAGGTGGGACGGAACTGGAGCTTTAGAAGCCAAGTGGAAAGTTTCAAAAATGAGGGAAAGGTAGGTATGGCTAGCTCATAATCCCAGCACTCAGGAGGCTGAGGCAGGAGGAGCATAGCAGCAAGTCTGAGGCCAGCCTGAGCTACATGGTAAGAGTGAGACTCTGTCCTTAAAAAAAAAAAAAGCCAGGTATGGTAGCCCACGCCTGCAATCCCAGCCCTTGGGAAGCTGAGGCAGGAGGATCGTTGAGAGTTTGAGGTCAGTCTGGAGTACATAGCGAGGCCCTGTCTCAAAAGTTTAAAAATAATAATAAAAATAAATAAATAAAGAGGGAAAGGCATGAACTGCACAGGAAGGGAGGCTGGCTGAGGTTGCAAACAGGTTACAGCGGTCAGAGGACAAGAGCCTCTGGGTTGAACCTGGTCTCCGGATTTAGCTACAGTGAGGTTTCCAGGGAGTCGAAGAGTCAGCTGCGGGCGCCCGCCGTGACAGGGAAGGAAGGAGGCGCGGCCGTGACTTGGGTCTGGCCACAAAAAGGAAGAAAGAGGAGCGTGGGGGACGACCAGGAGGGGCTGGGGCGCTCATCAGAGAGGACAGCCACTTGGAGAAGTCTCAGGGCTGAGCAAGAGGATGGGGCTGGGCTGCGGACGAGCGGACCGAGGCAGGAGGAGAGGAGGTGTGGAAGGGACAGGGGACAGGGAGCGGGAAGGTCAGGGGCTAAAGCGGAGACCGGGCTTCCTCCTGGAGGCAGAGGCGAGGCGACCGGCGCTGAAAGAAGGGTCCCCAGCAGCCCTGAGGGCCTGGCGGGATTGGAGAGGGCGACCTCGAAGTGGCCACCGTGCTGCTGCTGCAGTGGGTGATCTCCTCCGGAGCCCAGAGCGGCTTTGGTGGCTGGCGGAAGGCGACAGGCAACAGGGCTGCCCTGGGCCCCAGGGTCACAGGCCCTGGCGCAGGCGCAGAAAGGACCAGAGCGGGCGCAGCAGCCTTCCGAGCCGCCGCGGAGGCCCTGGACCCGAAGCTCAGAAACCCAAAATGCTCTCAATTGGGAAACTCTTTTGAGTCCCCTCGTGATATTACCGGTGGAGAATCGCACACCAGACCACCACGATAGCGGCAGGCTGGGTGCGGGCTGCGTGTGTGAGGCTTGTGCAAACCTAAATGGGTCCTGGCCCCAAGAGACCTCATTATTAATAAGCAAACATTCCAAAAGTGGGAGAATCCCTACTGTGCAGCACTCTGGTCCTAAACATTTCAGCGCATGTCTTCATGTATTTACTTTTGCGGTACTGCTGGGATTGGTGCTAGGGCCTGTGAGAAATGAGCTATATATCCCCAGTCCTTTTCTTATATTTTATTTTGTTTTTTTACCAGGAGTCGAACTCAGGACCTTATGCTTGCCAGGCAGACACTTGTGCCACTGAGCTATATGCTGGGCCCTTTTACAGTTTATTTTGAGACAGGGTCTTGCTAAGGCATTAAGTTGCCCAGGCTGGGTTCAAACTTGTGATCTTCCTGCCTCAGCCTTCTGGAGTGCTGGGATTAGAGGTGTGTGCCACCACATAGCTCTCTATAACTTCTACTGGAATACACCGTTCCATTTTATTAGTGCTGTTCATTTTTTACTGTGACTCTCTTACAGTTAAACTTTATCATAGTGGTATATATGTGTAGGAAGAAATAGTCTAGCTAGGCACAGTGGTGCACATGTGTAATCCCAGCTTGTGGGAAGCTGAGGCAGGAGGATTTTGATTTTAAGCCACCCTGAGCAATTTAGTGAGACCCTGTCTCAAAGTAAAATTTTAAAAGGGCTGGGGATGTAGCTCAGTGGTGGAGCACTTGTGTAGCATGTTCAAGGCCCTGGGTTCCACTTCCATTGTCACGGGGGAAAGCCGAGGTTTAAAGGCATTGAAATGTGATCAATGTACAGATTTTCTGTGGCTAGTTACTTTGGCAGTGAGGAAAAAGCTGGCAAAATACACTGTGTTGTGGGCACTTGGCAGTGTGTGGCACAAAGGAAGAGTCTCAAAAACAGCACATTCGTTATTGTTCTGTTAATTATTATCAATTACCAGTGGTAACAAGCTGGTGCAGAGGCTCGAGGTGGGCAGAAGCATTCTGAGAAAGGCAAGGCGCCCACCCAGAGGTGCCCAACAGTGTCCCCTTGGCATTGCTCCCACCCGGCAGGGGACCCACTGAAATGTGGGCTGTGGCCCCTGTTGGATAGCTGCCCTGTGAGAGGCACTAAGGGACCCCAGATAGGTGCCCCTGGGGAACCGGAAGTCAAATCTCAGGCTCGTCCAACTGGGAAATATCTGTCTTCACTGTTCTGGGGATGAAACCCAGGGCTTCAGCTGTGCTAGGCAAGTGCTTGACCACTGAGCAACACCCCCAACCCCTACCATGAAATGTTTTTTTGCTAGTCCTGGGGATTGAACGCAGAGCCTTCAAACTGAGCTATATCTTCAACCCATTTTTATTTTTTAATTTTGAGACAGGATCTCACTAAACCACTGAGTTGCTCAGGCTGGGCCTGAACTCAAAATCCTCCTGCCTCAGCCTGCCAGTGCTGCAATTACAGGCGAGCACCACTATAGGCCCCCCTCCATTTCTAAATACATTTTATGACATCCATTGACCTTGACCAGAAAGGGAGCCATTTCTGTGGGAAGCATTCCCTGTAGGGTGGGGAATGAGGCAGTGGCCCCTTGTTCCGCCAGGCTGAGTAGGTGATCCAGGCGGCCCAGTGTCCAGGAGTGTGGTGTGGGTCCACGCTGCCCACTCACTAGTGGAGAACCTACTATGTGCCAGGCATGAGACACTCATAGGAAACAGGTGGAGAAGAAGGCAGCTTAACTTGCGTCGCTTTAGACCTGGGGACTTTTATACCCGAGAGGCAACCTGTGTGCTCTCTTAGCTGTGTCGGGGAAGGGTAGGGAACAGTTGGGTTGGAGGGCTGTTGAGGCCTGCAGAAATTAGGCTCAACATCCGGTCACTCGGGTAGACAGTGGCACAGGAAAGGAAAGTCTTTGGGAGGTAAGGGGTAGACATCGTCAAGACCAAGGCCCAAAGGCAGGCAGCCAGCGAAGGTTCTGAAATTGGACTATACTACCTCAGGGCAGCAGCCTGAGGTCCCTCACCCACGCAGTAGTGTAAGCGGTGCTGGGACGCCAGCTTCTCACAAGTGATCGGCACCAGGGTGGCCAGGAAAGCAGGGCCCAGGAGAGGGAGAAGGAGCCACACCCCTCCCCCATGTTGCCTCCAAAGCCACCTCCTTGGGGTGGGGTCCCCAGCCTCAGGTTGATGCTGCCCTCTTCCCCTGGCTAGGGTACACCCCAAATCTGGTCCAGAATCAGTCAGACCAGGGTTTTTGCTGGCTCTAGAAAGTCGCTTTACCTCTCTGAACTGCCATGAATTTTTTTCCTACAGCTGCATTCAGCATGGTCCTACTGTGTGCTGAACATCATCCCCGCGGTGCACACGCAGTAGTGAACAAGACACAGTCCTGCCCTCATTAAACTTTTGCTCCCGTTGTGGAAGACACAAATACCTAACGCAGTACCCTGCAGATATGAAGGCAGCTCGAGGACACGTCGGGACAAGACTGTCACAGGCAAAAACGCCTTTGGTGGTGGTGGTCAGGAAAGTCCTACCTTGGGTGATGACATTGAGCTGACCCAGAAAGGAGACAGAGCCAGGCAACAGAACAGGGCACATGCTAGGACCAGCAGCAAGGATGAGCCTGGTGTGGCTGACCACAGAAGGGGCAGTGTGGCTGGGGAGTACAAGGTGAGGTGAGCGTACCAGAGGTGAGCTGCAGCCTGAGTAGAGGCCAGATGGCCAGGGCCCTGTAGGCTAAGTGGAAGACATTACTTTATACACTATATACAGGGCCGTGATTCAGAGAAAACCACTGAGGGTGCCAAGCCAGAGAGAGTATAAAACAGTTTGAGTGTGTTTGTTTAACAAACAATCTTACTATATTGCTCTCAAACCCCTAGACTCAAGGAATTCTCCTGCCTCAGCCTCCCCACTGGCTGGTATTAACAGGCATGCACGCTAGATTTAACAATCTTATCTTTGTTTTGGGAGGAATTTTGGCCGGTGCATGACAAAGCCTTTTCTTGGCCGCTCCATTGTCCAGGTGAATCCATGGGGCCTGAACCAGGTGGCAGGAAAGATGAGATGGTCAATGGCAGGAAAGCATGGGAGGAGCTAGCGGGAAGAGGGAAGAGACAAAGGCTTGACCCACGGAGCCGGCGTGCCGGGGGCGCGTGGGGCCAGGCTGTGTTCGCAGTCCCCATCTGACACCCACGTGGAGGCGCGGGGCGGCGCAGTTTCCCCTGAAACACTTAACTCCGGCCTCACAGGCACAAGGATGGCATTGAAAACCACAGGGCTGGATGAGATCATCCAGGCGGAGGATGTAGGTCGAGAGGAGAAGACGCCCGCGACCGCCAACGGTGAAACGAAGGAGAGACCACCTCCACCCACTAGGCGCTCGCGAGCGTCACGTGACGCAGTCCGACCGCGCACGAACCGGGGCTGAGAACCCCGGCGGCTCGGAGTCAGCGGCTGCCCGCGGGCTGGGGGC